TAGTCTTTCTTAATTGGAATTGTAACTTACGAATTGTTTGTTGAAGAAGAACTTTATCTTTTCGAGTAGTTGCCATCTCTGTGTCTTCATAATTTAATTCGAGTTCATGAAGAATTCTTCGTTCAATCTTTCTAGTTTGTTTAAGTTTCTTTTCTAACATTTCTGTCATTTTTTGAGCTTTAACCATTCTTCTATGCATAATGCATCCATGTCTGAAGTGATAAAATTCATCATCTGCAATAACACTTAATAATAATAAAAAGAGAATAATTGATCTCATTTGATAATATACTTTTTTTCAAGTTCTTTTTTTTTTGATTTTTTGTTTTTTATTCATTTTTTTTTTGAAACTTCTTAAAATAGAATTTTTTATTTATTTACGTTATATATAACGAAATAATTAAGATTTTGAAGTATATCTGAAAAAAGGATAAATGGTCATTCATACACTTGATCGATATCACTTAATGATTGTTTGTAAATATTTAAGAACAGTAGAAGATTATTTGAACATTATTTTTATAAACTCAAAATACAAAGAAATACCAGCAATGTTTCATTATAATCCTATTTCAATAAATAAACAAAGTAAAAAGTTGTTTATTAATATTGAAAGTCAATTCATTTATAGTAGATATGATGATTTAATTAATGGAATGAATAATTACATTGTTTGGTATGGATGTGGATTAAAAACAGTTAAATATTATAAAATTTATTATTCTTTACGACCGATATTTAAAAGACTTTATTTGAATTATACTCAAATGAAAGATTTTCATAAAGAACAAGGAGATATTATTTACTATGGTTTTTCTGAACATATTAAATCAATTAATGTTATTGATGTGTCTAATTTTTATGGACTTTCAAGAGAATGTTTTAAATTTAATAATATTACAAGTGTTATTCTTGGACATCATATTAGAGAAATACCACCATTTTGTTTTGATAGATGTGGATTAAAACAACTTGATCTTTTCTTATATAACTAAAATTGAAGGTACACAATTTTATGATGATAATCTTACTGCTTTAACTCTTTCAAATACTTAGAAAAATGGATTTAAATGCTTTTAATGGTTGTACTAATTTAAAA